AAAAGTGCTATATATATAAAGGTCAATATATATATGTATATATATATATATATATAATTGATATATAAATATATACATTTATATATACAAATTATATTAAAAAATAAATATATAATTTATTTATTAATATTTAAAAAAAAGATCATTGCACAGAACATCATGCAGATTTGGAATTATATGACGAGTAAATGATGAAAGAATTTCAACAGAAACTATCCTTTGACATCAGAAATTATTTTTTGAGGACAAAAAAAACGATTTGCATGTTTTAATTTGGTAACTGCTCTAACAGATTCTGTGAGTTCATTTAATAAAGGATTTGTTGACTAATTCAATGAACGAGTGAACATGACTGAGTGAAATTGTGAGTTTGAGACTATTTGTGGGATTTATTAAAAGAGTAAAAATAAACATAACACAATAGAAAGCATTAAAAAGTAGCATTAGCAAGCATTAATAGAATTACACCATGCTACCCTAGTACTAAGAGGCAAAGAGAAGGAAGTGGAGAGAAATTTGGAAATGAGGGCATAGTGATGAAATGAGGGAAGCATGGTGTTATGGGAGTTGGTTGAAGATGGAGTCTGAGGGTTTAGGCAGTCTTCTCTACTGTGTGACCTACTTAATGAATACAAATGTCACACCAAACAGCAAAAGGTCATTTAAAGGTAAAAAAATTTTAAGGTGACTCACATAGACTTAGCCTCTGGCCACAGGTTCTCAGACTTTCATTACGGTTTCTTGGCCTCCCCCTGATCACTTAATCTGGCTGAATGCTATTATCAAAGACCAAACCTCCCAAATGCCTGTGCCTTCTCACTTCTATATTCTAGAAGCTACAATTACCCAACTAAATGCATAATTGTAGCACTTGCCCTCCTCCTACTGTGGACGTTCATGCAACATCAACCCAAGTGCTGAGAGTCATTTTGACTGTCGCAGTCACTTCCTTTCCAACACTTCACTGTAGAGGTGACACACTGAGTTGCCCTTGGCGACTGCATTCCGTGGGTCAAAGTTCAATACCTTGATTTACAGCATCCTGTCTGGTCAGCTCTGTGGAAATGAGGCTCCTCACCACAGTGTCTTCAAGAAAAAAAGTCACTGCCAAGTGAAATTATGACACACCGTTATCTTTTAACTCCTGCAACATTTCCATGAAATTTTCAACCATCCTTTTCTCAAGCATCCAGACGTGTTTACTGCTAATATTATTTTATGTCCTGAGAAGTATGACATGGAAAATGTTTTATTTTATTTAATTATAATACTAATTATAATTTAGTGTAACAGTGTTTTCCATACAATTTACAAGCTCCGAAAAGGATTTTAAAAAATGAATTTATAAAGTGGTTTAATTTGCAGTTTGACACTCAGGGTTTGAAATCAGTTCAGTCAAACATCACTGGATCTCAAGTAGACATGTGCCTTAATGAATATGCACAATATTGTTATCGTGGGCACTTCAAAATACAGAGAATAATTATTTATTACAAATTATTTAGATTTTTTGAATGCATTTTGAGAATACTTTTCCCATCAACTGGTCACAATGCACAACACCACTGTAAGCTATGCGTTCGCACTCTAATGTAAACAAGCATGGATGAGAAGCGCATGGCGGAGGCGTGAGAGAGCTCTGGATTAAAGTGCACTTTCACTCTGACAGCAGATGGCGCTGAATAGCAGAAATGCAGCCGTTACCCCAGAAACCACGTAAACAAAGTAGCTGCCCTACTTTCTGTTTCTGAAATGTGTTTAAATTATTTAAACAGCCATTCAGATTTGTGTATTCGCTATGGTGTTCATCACAGTGCAAAATACTTAAATATTTACACTTAATAGGCTATTTATTTTCAAACGTTTTTACATTTTAATCTGGACTACAACATGCCCTAGATGTTGTTTAAAAGTGTTTTGATTCTTTAATGTTCAGTCACACTTTATATTAAGGCTCTATTAGTTAACATTAGTTAATTCATTAGTTAAGATAAACTGCCAATGAAAAATTCTTCTAAACATGAATTAATCTTAGGTAATTCCAATATTTAATAACACGTTGTTAAAATCAGAAGTTGCAACTGTGTTATTTAATGAGCTAACAAACTAAGAGATGTATTTTTTAACAAATAATAATAACTTCTGTAGCAAATGTAGCTATTGCTCGTTGTGAATGTTAATGCATTATCTAAGGTTAACTAATGAGATCTTATTGTAAAGTGTTACCTATTGGTCTTTATAATTCTTTTGCACTTTAATCTGTGTAAAATTTTTTACTTTATACATTTTGGTGTATTGCTTTATTGTATTTAAATATTCAGTTATTTTTGTTATAAGAAAAACTTTATTAAACCTGTTATACTGTATTATGAGAGCACTTTTTTGCAACTAAATTTCAATATTGTGATAATACTGTATACCGTGATAAAAGCAATATCAATTAATCGCAACATGAAAATTTGATACCGGCATATGCCTAATCTCAAGTCTCAAGATCAGGGCTCAATGAATGAAAACGAAAACTGGAAACGAACGAAATTTTGACAGGAACATAACCAGAAACAGAAATGAAATCAAACTTAATAGTTCCGAACAGAATCAAAATTTGAAAACTGCCATTAACCGGTGTGACGAGAGGGGCGGGGCCGAGAGCCGTGGGAAGGGAGCGAGGCCGGTGGAGTAAATGCTAATGCACGACACCTGCGCCACTCACCGGTCTCGAGTCCCACGGAGGAGCTCCAGAAGGATAAAAGGAGGAGTGACGACAGTGTTGGACGAGAGAGGACCAGGCCTGGACTTTATTTTGTGTTTTGTGTGCGGCAGTCGTCCGCGAGGGGCGGCCGCTGTACTTTCATTTTGTGTTTGTTTATTTTATTAAAGTTTTGTTTAACTGTTCGCCGGTTCCCGCCTCCTTCTTCCCGAACTACGAACTTTGTTACAACCGGTTAATAACATTATTTTACCGTTCCATTTAATATTTAGATTTTGCAATCAACCAATCACAAATTTAAATAGAACGGCCTATGCAAAATATTTGGATGCGCAAAAATCTACTACATTTTTCACTGAAGAACGTAAATTTCATTCTGCTCCTAACATAAAAATATTATTAAAGTTACAGAAAGTTTGGAACATACTTCATAAATCATATAGACTATGTGGTACTTTTGTTGTTTTTTTGTATTGTCCTTTCATTCCCGTTCACTTTCATTGTTTAAAAAAGAGCAGCAGGGATATTCTGCAAAATATCTTTCAGCAGCATTTATGGGAGAGATTCCTTTATGTATTCACTATTCAGTGATTTACACTGAAATGATTTAGCCAGTGGGAATATTTTAGTTCTGTATTCTCTCGTCTTTCTGATGCGGGATGCTTTTCTTATTGATTAGTCCACATCTGCGTGTACAGGCAAGCCTGTAGTTTTGAAATTGGAATAGATTTTTTCCCTTCCACATTGATTGGCTCAGGTGACAGCTAATTACTCAAGAGTGTGTTTGTGCGTGTGTTATGCAGAGTTGATATTATTTCATGTGGTTCTTTTGTTACGGTGCTCTGCTTGACTGACATGTTTTAACATCTGTTGTATTGTTCCTGTAGAGTGCAGTCTTTTTGCAGATGCATGTACGTAGCGTGTTATGATGTACCGGGCATGTTTGTGTTTTCATTTCCTCTGGTTAATATTTTGTTGCTTTGGCTGTCACAAGATAAGATACTGCAGGTGTGTGTGTAAGTGTGCAAAACTGTGTGTCCATAAGTCTGCTGTGGAGAGGCATAGTCTCTTCTAAACAAGGAACTTTAAAAAAAAAAAATCAGAGATAGGCAAACAGTGCTGTTTTCTCTGAAAATGTCTCCTCTTCTGAGAGAGACAACTGACCTTTCACTCAAACACACACCCTTGTACACATCAACTACGTTATAAGATGGTTTTTCTTCTTCACGTGAGGCATCCAGATCTGACTCGAACAGCTGATGTATAGAACAAAGTCCCCACCCTACATTTTTTTCTTTTTTGATATTCTGTTTTACTCTTATGTACATCACAATCAGTGTTGGGAAGGTTACTTTGGAAATGTAATAGGTTACAGATTACAAGTTACCCTATTTAAAATGTAATAAGTAATGCAACTGATTCCAATTGATTACTTTTTGATTACTTTTCTACATTTCTAATGAATGTTTGCAACTGTTATTCATTTTCAAACAAATATAAATTGTGCACACATATAACTATTTTACCAAAACTACATAATTCTTATATTTCTATTTCACAGTTTTAAAGACATTGACTTTTCTAACACTTAAAGTTGCCATATCAAACAGATCAGTGGACTTTTTCTTTTGAGACAAAATCATTGACTTTTCTGAAGGAACTTGGCTGAGAATGTTTTGCATGTGCAGTTTATTGTCTCTTCATCTTTTCCCTATTTTGTTTATTTTCACACGTGTTAACGACTTCACAGCTTGCCCAGAACAACAGGTGAATTAACCAACACAGGCATGATTAAACAAGCGAAAATATGGTACAACAGACCGCTGTTGTGTTTAGAGATTGGGAAGTTTGTAGAGGCATAGAGATATGACAGATGTGCTGTGTATGTAAGTGTGTGTGTATCTGTGGCAGTCGGAGCTCATGGCCGCTGGATATGGACGTTCTAGCCAGAGTGGCCGTGTGTGTCCACCTCTCTTATCTCCTGCAGATCCCTTCCTTTCATCTCCTTTCAGACCTACAGGGTACTGGACAAACCCCTCCCTAAAATATAGTCCCCCGCAACACACGGACACACTCCAAGGCTGCTATCTCACTGCTACAGATGAGGACCTTCATGTACAGGCCAAATGACATCCCCCCCTGTCCTCGTCCCACTACCACACACACACACACATTAGGGTTGGTTCCCATCTCACCTGGCTCCGTGTCCCCTCCTCCTCAGTTAACAGTCTTTCACTCCCTTTCTATCCTTCCCCTCCTGTTGTTTTTCTGCCTTTGCCTTGACTCTAATCTGAGCCTGTGTGACATCTGGAATGTCCTCTGGTTTTAATCGAGATAGTGAGAGGGAGAGAGGGGGGAGAAGACATCATTTGAACGCAGGCAGACACCTTTAAACACTGTAATTTAAAGCATCTATTGTGTTAATTACACAGCAGAGGTTCAGTTCTGTTCTCTGTTTTTATTGTTTGTTCAGGATCTTCAGTGACAGTGTGGCAGACATGAAAACCCAAGAGCATCGTTCCAGCCCTCTGAAATCACACACACAAAGTGAGTATAGAGATAATATGAAGCTCATCTTTTAAGGTCAACTAATAATAATCACTGTTGTAGTCACAAAGATTTTGTGCGCTTTAGAATCAGAATCAGAATGAGCTTTATTGCCAGGTATGTTTACACATACAAGGAATTTGTTTTAGTGACAGAAGCTCCACAGTGCAACAGAATGACAGTGACAAGACAGGACACAGATAATAAGAATAATATAAAAATATACAAAATAGACAATGTACAAAAAAGCAAAAACAATATATAATATAGACAATTTTGTATGTACAGGTGTGATATGTGCAAATTTGTAAATAAGTATGTGTGTTAAATAAATAATGTCGATTAGATAAATCAAGAGTACTTTTTTTTATATGTTCATCACACAGAGATTTTTAATGTTTAATAAGGGGTAAAAACACATTCTGTTCCATTCATCTCATATCTATTAAGTGGAAAAATGCATTCTATGTGAATGTCCCATAATCTTGACACTTAATTGCCACTAATTGTTGTCTGATGAATCAAAAATGACAATGTAACCAGTCACAAAATAAAAAATGGGGGCCATTTTTGATATGTTTGTGTGTAACTGTTACTGAATTTAGATCACTGTGAAATGTTAATGTGTTTTAAAGTCCCTTCCAAGTACTTAGGTACCTGTGTCCATCCCTATAATCACTTAGAATTAAACTACAAAATTAGATAACAATTTTGTAATGTTGGGCTATCAGGTAAGTCCCAATGACCTATTGACCAACATCTGGCCTGCATTTCTTTACGCATGAGTGAGGAGTAAACACACACATATGAACACTAAATTCATTCCCACAAACACATTCTGGTACTCGCAACAAAAAACAGACCTACATACGATATACATGGTGGCCAGAGCGTAACCCTTCTACTAACATAAACACCAGATCTCACCTTTGAACTCCTCACCTTTCATTCTGCTAATTGGTCCGTGATGCTCTTATTTTTCTTCATGGGACTGTGGCTAAAAATAAGTCCCCATTTCTTGCACCTAAAATAGAGTACTCTCCTCCCCTTCAACTGTTCTCATCTTCCCCTTTTAGGTCCAGTAAAAGCCCAGCTCTTTATGATGTTTCTGTTTTTAACCTAATTAATTCTATAGCGGCCTAAATGGGATTAGGAATTACCGTTTTATGCTTACAGACTTCTAAAAACTGAGTGCTGAAACATCATTTAAATTTTTTCCATCTTCGTCAGCAATCTTTACAGCTACACTTTACTCTCTTTTTTTTCTGACTACTTAGTTTAGTTGTACTTGCTACTACATACTTATTTCTAATTAATCAAACATTGTTCCAAAGCATCTCTTTTGTCAAAAAGTTATAGAGAACTATGTAGTTTGTTACATAGTTTGCTTAACTGGTAAAGCTTGGCACTAGCAGTGACAAGGTCATTTGTTTGATTCCAAAAGAAAATGCTAACTAATAAATGCATATCTTGAATGCCCTGTAAGCCACTATGGATGAATGTGTCTGCCAAATGAATAAATGTGAATCTACTTTTTTTTATAACTGCTGAGTTTTTTTCACATTTGTTATTTTTCACGTCAACAATTGTTAGGCAGAAGGCCACAAGGTTGTGTGGACAGTCATGACTTGTTTTGAGTATGGTTGTTTAACTGTTATTCTTGTTCACGTAATAATAGTCTCGTGTAGCCAGACCTTCAGACTGACGGCTGAAGGTCTGGAATCCATGGCAGCTTTCATTGGCCAAGGCCCGCCCATGAGGCCGTTTGACCGACATGTCAAACAACCAATCACAGTTCGTTTCGTTCATTGTCACGTTTTGGGGCGTGAAAATGTCGCCACAATAACAGACCGGTGTATAAAACTCTCGGACGTATTTTAAAGATTCTATGCCGTGAACTTTAAATATTTCACATACTTTTGAAACTCCTGCGTTTAGTTGATCCTGATAAGCGCTTGTCATCACAGTTGTAAACACTACGGCTTTCTTCTTTCGTGAGGGGGTTTGGCTTTGTTTCCAGGCGGAACGTTAAAGAACGCAAAACACACGTCTCCCAGAAATCCTGTAGAATTCAACCAATCCGATGATGACTTCGACACTCCTGAAGTGTTTCCACTTTTGTGTCCCATATGCATCAGACGTTTAGCCAACGGTCCGTGGGCATGACGTCTGAGGCTGAGACTAACGTAATAATGATTCTACTGCTGGGCAGCTGTTGTGCTTTAAAGGCGGTTTATTCCTTCTGCAAGTGTGTGCGTGTCAGTGTGCATTAGGAAGCATGAGGAGGTATAGGACTTAGTGAGATGCAGCATGAACAAGAGCAGTACGCCGAGCTTGAATCAAAGAGGGCTCAAACTCTTTGCCTGAGGGTAAATTGATGTGTGTGTGTGTGAGAGAGAGAGAATGAAAAAGGAGTTAGACCCTCTCTTTCTTTCAGTTCACTTTTGTTACATCTTGTTTCTTAAATGACAAAGTTGAAGGCGTTATCTTGTTTTGACAGGTGATGCACGGCCCCACTCCCAAATGAAGGGTCTCCAGTTTCGCAGCATTGCCCCCAAAGCCCCAGCAGTGGTTCCATCCTCTGCAGTTCTATCCTGCCAACCTCCCTCAGCCCTTCCAGAAGCATCCACGGCTGTCAGCCCCAAATCCATCCTTGTCCCTGCCCAGAACTATGCACTCATGCAGGTGGCTGGACAAGAGGGGACCTTCTCATTGGTGGCCTTACCTCAGACACAACAGCAACAGCCAATCCAGAAGAACCTTTCCTCAGACACAACAGCAACAGCCAATCCAGAAGAACCTTAAGCTGCCTATTCCTAGATACCAACCGGTGCGAAGCAAGAGCGCTCCAGAAAAAGGCAGTAGCAAGATGCCGAGTCCAGCCAAGGTTTCTGCAACCATACAAGCTCAATCACCTGCTGTGAAATCAGACCAGAGTTCAGACCCAGTATCAGAGCATCTTGTTTTAATTGATGCTCCTACTTCGTCTGAAATCAACGTTGGGCCCTTGCTCACGCAACCTAGTGCACTGCGACGAGGAGTTCTTCTCCTTTTCAAAGTTCAAACGCCACCTCCATTCTCACCATCAAGAAGCTAGAGAGAGTCAAGAAGAGGAGGACGAAGAGGAGATGATAGGTAAGGAGGGCCATGTATTAAGGGGCCTCAGTAAAGGTGTATCCCTGAGGGTGGGGTCTCACTTTAACTGCATCCTTTGCAGTAAGGTGTTTAATAAGAAACAGCACGTTATTGAGCATTGGAGGGCACAGCACAACTGTGAAAATCCCACCCTTCTATGGGATGTCCTGGACTTCAAAGGGGAGAGCAAGCTTATTGATGGGCCAAATTAACTGCAAATGGGTCATTTATTATTTGCTCCATGTGTCAGCTGTGTGGTTTATGCAGGATGCGGTAATGTTAATGCAAAAATAAATCCACTAATAGACTTTTTATGCTGTTGTTTTGTTGTTTTTTAACATCACAAATGTTGTTTTGTAATGCTTGAATTTTGTAATGTTTTATGTTTGCTCTTTTTCTTTAACGTGCATAAAAGCAGAAGAAAATAATCTATAAAATTCACAAACCATAAATTCAGCCGTAAACATAACCATGGCCCAGGTGCAGATGTAATATTACTGCCAGCATATAGAAAAAGCTAAGGATGATAATGATCATTTTTAAGGTTTGTGGACACAGTGTGTTAGTAACTGCTTCATTTGAGTGAATCAGGTGAAACAGACTAACAAAGGCTCATCAAAAACACATTGCCACTCAGACAAATTGAAAATTTGCTATAGTCTGAATACAAATGGGGAATGATTAGCATGCTTGAAATAACATGTCAAAGAACATTCAAAGTAACACAAATTATCAGTGACATTCCACAAACACATACACATAATCACACAGTTTCAGTCCTCATTCCACAGCTAAAATAAATACTGCCAGCGTATTCCAGCCTTAAAATAAAATATATTTTATTTCTTTTTTCATAGTTGACTTTACTATTCTGAAAATATAGACATTAGTAATGATAAAGAATAAGTGTGTTCAAACCTTTGACTGGTGTTCGTTCAGTAAACAGTCATCTACTTTAACTGGTGCTGTGTAAAGCGAACTGATAAAGTTCACTAACGTTACATTCTTGACACAAAACGAACAGCAAATCCCAAAGCACCAATTCATTTGTCTTTTAAAGTTGAATTCATATTTTAGATAACCTAAAGTCAGTCATGTTGATATTAACAGTCAATAAACAGATAAATGCTGCTTGTCTTGTTGAAATTACCCCGTAAGTGTCTTCTTTGTAGAACTTGTCTTTGGTGGATTGCTTCTGACTTTAGCCTGATTTACCTTAAAAAGAGAATGAAAAGAAATTATTTTGTTTAAAATGTGGTCTTATTATATTTAAAGTGATTGGTTGTTTAATGATGGACATTTGAAAACATTTGAATCGGTTTCACTTAACAAGCCAGTAATGACACAAGTGTCTGGTAGCATTTCCAGTTCTGAAGATTTCCCCGCCACTGTGATAGATAAACGTGTCTGTTTGTGGCTTTAGATAAACTAAGCCCTAAATAGCATTTGTACGAGAGAGAGCATTGTCCCTGCATTATTGATTATTGGTGCCTAAATTAAAAATAAATATCTAATGACAGTAATAGTTGGTGTGTTTATTGTATGCAACAACCTCCTGACTTTGATTTCTCCCGTCATCACTCTATAATGAGCACAAGCGAACACATAAGCTGCTGCTTCTTAAGGCTTATCTTATTCCATATTACAAAGACATTTACCGCAAGACTTCATTTGTAGGTTGCACAGAACAGTGAGCCGTGTAAGGCAGGAATTAAATCAATTTCAGCTGGACACATGATGGATTCATATTTATACAACAACCAATATTCACTGAAGGAGTGCTAATGCTTTTATAATGTCTGCTTAAATATCTTACATCCTTAAATTATCACTATATGTCACCATTATATCGTAATATTAATACACACATTTAAAACAACTATTAGAAAGCACAGTTTCCCATCCCAGTGTGATCATTTTGGTCACAAATGCAACATCCAGTATTTTATATCGCTTATAATTATGAGTTACATTCTTTCGATCAAATTTTATATTGTATTCCTCAGTGCTTCCCAAGCAGCTCTGGCTCTGATTTATAACCTGCATTAAATGATCATAACTTCTCTGTCCCAATGGCGCAGTCACTTCAGATGCAAGTAGTGAAGGAACG